TAAGTTGATGCAGTCCACAAGACATCCTCCAACGTTTTGGTAGAAGACGGGCTAAGCTTTCGTCTGTCACGTGACGAACATAATCAGAGCTGGGACTCATTCTTGCAAAAACCTTAAGTTAACACTAAGTCAATAAGACTAACTGGCCTTTATCTATGTGATATATATACTCATTACAAGCAAAATTTAATATATAGATGGATATGTAAGGTTTTGGTTAATTCACGTTTACTCTAGTATGTCTGTACGTTAACTTCTATACGTAAAACAGCTTAGAATCAGCCTCGGGTCATCAAGGCTCAATGACACAAGAAAAAAAGAAAAAAAGGATGGCCGAGATTGCATTAGTCCGTAAGTAGCCCAAGTTAAATTGATTAGATGTAAGTGTGTACACGTGAAAGTCAGGTTACAGAACTACCAGTCCGAACTCGTTCGTTTAGATTTAATGACCCAAGGAGAAGCTTGGTTGGAATTGCATAAACCTGCACGTCTCTTTTGACTGATGAACTATATATTTCTGCTGAACGATTGTTAACCTGATTAGAACCATCACTGAGCTGAAAAACTGAGTCATCTTCTTTTGGACGGCGGATCAACAACCTCTCTCTTTTAATCTCTCATTCAAGCATAAGTAATTCTTACTCAACTTTATACTACCATTTCTCATATTCAACGCATTCTATAATCTATTAATTCCAATAGCCTCTCTTATCTTGTGTTTAGTAGCAGACATATCCTAATCAGCAAACCTCTGCGTACGAGACCATTCTATTTCATGCCCAGTCTCTGCCATGTGTTCCACAACTTCTGACCGTTCGACCCAGCTGCCTTTACAAGCATTTTTGTGCTCCGATAATCTTTGGCGGATCGGCTGACAGGCCTCGCCAACATACGGTCGACCACAGGAGCACGCAATCATATTAACAGGATCTTAATAGTTGGTCATATTTCTCTCAAAAAGCAAGTAGAACCGAAGAAAGTGTCAGAGTTTCTTAGAAAATTGTCTTAATCCCTCCACTTCCTCATTAGTTCTATTTTCTGACAGGCAATTCTCAACTTACTTCCTACAGTAATCTCTGAATGCCCCTCCAGGGTGAGCATTAGAACCTGAATTGCTCATTTAACTGGAATATTTGTTTACATTAATACCACATCAAAAATACATGCAGAGATAAAGAGCCCAATGGGGAAGCTGGCTTTGTGGACAAATTCTGAAGAACCGGCTATTCTGAAAGTAAAAAAGAAAACAGGCGAATTGTGCCACCGTTTTTCAATACAGATAGCATTGTGGTCTAACTCAAGGCTGGAAACAGTATGCAATGGCATCAATCAGGTTCGCATTTCCTCTAATTTTCAATTTAACAAATCTATTTCTTAAGCGTAACAAAGCTACCAGTTTAGGCTGATGAGCCAGAAAATGCACTAAGCACCTGGTCTTCTTGGCACAAAATATAAGTGCTTGACCATGAATCAGCTGAACAGACCAGATCAAGTAAAAGTGCATTACTTTCGATGCTTCAACTGCATGCTTATTCCAGGTCAACCGTTTTAACTGCTTCCCAAAAATTAGTTTATAAATTTATAAAAGCTTATGAAAATTTTTTCCAGGAGGCGGACATAAATTACGATAGAAAACATTTATTGCGAAGATAGTTTACCGTTTACTTCTCGAAGAGCTCGTGTGAAATCATTTGGGTCTGAGAAACTGACAAATCCATAACCACGTGACTTGTTCGTGCGTTTGTCACGAACAACATGGGCTTTTTTAAAAGATTCGTAGTGGCTGAATGCACGACGCAAAGTTTCATCATCGACTTCCTGGCCTAAGTCACCGCAGAACATTCGGAAGTCATCTGAAGCATATAAGAAAGTATGTACAATAAGGATTAAGTAAATTGACGTAAATTCAATGTATAATTACAAAATAATCAAATAAATGTACACCAAGCTTCAAGACTATCCATATCTTAAATAAGATTTCTAGGCCGGAGTACAGTTTCGATCTCACCCGGATCTCATCAGCATCCCTCTAAATATCAGTCCTTCATTACCTTGCGACCTAGGATAACTATAATTCGTATTCGATATCTGGTGATGGCCGCAACACATACTTATTACGGATGCCTTTATTTTGGTCACAGTATCCTTACGCTACATTGAAGCGGTATGATCACGCCTTAGCAATTTGGTTATGTTGTCAGACAAACATAGAAGAAGCAGTGTACGAAGTCTTCGGCCATATAAGTAAGGATAATTTGGAGCATCGGACCGTAGACTCGATATATTCCGTGAGCCCTGTCGTTGTTAGCACTAAACTAAGACTAGTCAAACAAGTTAAGCCCATCCCCTCATCAGCTTTTTCTAAACAGTTGTAATATGTCCAATTCTGTCATTTAACCCATATCTTCTTCAATATCAAAACTTATATGGTAGAAAACTTGGATAAAAGTGCGTTGATCTTGATCGCATTGATAACACGGTCAAGTTATGAAATCGAGTTAAAATCGCTTCTATTGATAACGTTGTGGATTTTATTGGCAATATATTAGTTTGGGATGCAAGTGAGGCCGAGGCGATGTCGAAACTACCGCCCATTATGATGAGAATATCTTTTAGGAAGCAATCGAGATTCAATGGCATCGTGTGGAGTACTAAGAGTATTGTGTAAAAATTAAAATACTCGTCCTTCATCATATATATATATATATGTTACAGATATAAGTGCATAATTGTTGGGTTAAACATGATTAATTAATGAGTCTCATATTTTGAATTTATTACGAAGCACCATCAACGTGGCTGACGCAAGAGACTCGTGCAAAATTCTAAAACCATGCTTAATCCACAGACAATAGTAAATCAAACCCAGCTTCTCAGCCAATAGACACAAATTCTAATTTTCTATACTCGTTTAAGTAAAGAAATATATACACAGAAATAAGCCATTTAATGTCAATATAGTCATATGTTTTTTTCCGTATATGATAGTTAATAAAAATTCACACAAAAATATATATCTACATATCTATCGAAACTAGTGTAACAAGACTATCAGATTTATCGACACATTCAAGATGTCATATAATTTACCCTAGTGACTACATTTGGAAGTGGCAGACTGGTGGCTTATCCGTCATGCATACATGTATCTCAGCCAAGTTAGCACTAGGCCTATAGTATCATCATTGAGCATCAAAAAAAGTCTTACACATAAATTTGTCATTACACTAATAAAAATTGAGAAGCAAGCCTAACTGTTCCCCTAGTATAATTAAAATCTGAAAATTTACTCCTAAATGTCGAATCAGACTTACCTTTGGCAATATTTTTCTGTCCGTAATCGAGTTATGGCTCCATAGTCATCTCTAAATAAAATTCCACATTATAGATTAAATGGTTCATTTTAATATTGGTTATTGTTCCTTATTCTTTTCCAAAATTTAGTTCCTCAAGTTAGATCACTCCTTTAAGAGATAGATAGTTCAACTTATTATCTATCACATCAAAATCTTAAATTAGCTAGCCACTAAATTTTATTCTATCAATATTTTTTGAGAACGGGCATTTACAAGAATGTGAAAAAAACTACACCCTTATGTAATTATAAATTTGGTCTATCATATACTCTACCTATTATTCTATAACTAATTTTCTTTGAATTTACTTGGGTCCCATTCGTTAAGGTTCGGATCCTCCCAAACCATTCCAGCCGCCGTGCGTAAGTAGCGCTTTTTCTTCTTTTGAAACTGATCTTCATAGGCCGCCTGTGTTCGAACGCTGCGAGATTTCGCGATAGCTTCCGCAGCATTTGCATCTTTAGGCGTCATCGTCATGTTAGGGAGTCCGGCTGAGGCAGAGGTAGATGGGATACTAGAGGCTCCGACGCCCGAAATAACTGAGGCTGCGGACTTCTGACCAGAAAACGGCAAAAGGTGTGTTACATCAATCGCGCCAGGATCAATAGTAATCGAATTAGCTGCAGATAGATAAACAAATGAACAAACATACAACCAGAATATACAGATAAAAAAGAAAACAGGCAATTAACGATGACTAAATGGTAGTGAAGTTCAAGACCCCGGATTAACCTTAGACAAAAACTTCAAGCTGCTGTTGTACATAGTTTGGATCAATAATATTCTAAATATGGAGTCTCGAAATCCCCCGCCCTGGGCTGTAAGATGGTGCAGGAATAAGTATCATGTTGGCCACGATGATAGAAAATAAAATATCACTACCATCTAAAGCCCAGAAATAACGCAGAGAATAATTAAAGAAAAGCGACGCAAGATAAACCAAAATAAGCCTTATAAACCTAATTTTATTGCC